CACAGAAAATTAGAATTGGTCGATTACTCTTAACAGAAGAGAAATTTTTTTTTTTTGGCGGAAGCATCCCGATGCATTGCATAATTTGCCGTCGTACAGAGCAATCATGTGTTTTGGTCACCTGTCCTCCAGAGGACGGGAAGAGCTGAAACTGACGTCACTGGCAGTTTATAATGACTCATGAAGCCGTTCTCCCGGGGAACTTCATCTCGACGCAAATATCCGCCAGTCAGGAACGACTCGAAAGTCCCGTGACTTTCGGTACTGCGTCATGTGGTTCGTCAGTCTTCTGTTGACATTGGCATGGCGGATGGTTTACTCTGTGTTTGCCGAAACTGGTGCCTAATTATATCATACGTTACCCATGGCCACGGAATTATTTATTTATTTTTATTAAAAGCGGGTACTTGCATGCTTTCCGAGCTCGCAGCATGAGCGTCACGAGTTTCGAGATCCTTCCTAGCCTATGACGTCTGGCGCGCCTTCGATTTCGCTCCATGGAGATGGCGAAATAGAGTATGTCTTACCCTCTTTTCCTCTTGCTCGAACGGAAAACTTGAAAATTTTCAGCTAGCGGATGTAGTTGTCGGTTTTAAGAACATACGAACAACGCCTAATTTTGGACTACGAAGGATTTCCGGGTTTACCGAATTACATCCAAGCTGAGTCTCACCGAGTCGAAGATGCCCTCAGATTGGTCCGTTCACGTTCTCGTCCTCAAAAACCGGTAGCCAAAACCGCTCTCGTGGAATTTCGACATTCTTCATTCTGGGCGGGCTTGGAAATTCCCTCGGAGGTATTCTGCATGAGACATTTCGACGATCTGGACGAGATCCCTTTCTCTTCTTGCTGCGTGGCTCCTGTTCCGCTTTTTTTTTCATTCTTTCGACCGCGTTGCATACAAATTAACGCTGATGACGAAAAAAAAAAGGATTCATATGAAAAAAATATAATGAAACCGAACCCTGGTTCCTTTTTTCCTTCTTGACGCTCGGTGGCCCGCGAAAAAAAAAGAAAAAAAAGAGAGTGAAGTGGATGCGTGAGGAGACTCGATGTCCACGAGATAAGGCTCTAATTACGGGATGGGAACGCTGTTCTGCCACTGCAGCCTCTGTCACGGCCGCGTTTCCTCCTTCGCTGCATCATTAGCCTCAACAGTGACACGAAGATGAAGATGCCTCTTTAATTGATGCAATCCTCGGAGCTGGCAGCTGATGATGATGATGATGATGATGATGATAGTGGCGGCGGAATTGCATTCTTTTATTCTCATTGTGGGGGACCGATGGGAGGAGGAAATTAGAGAGGAAGATGAAAAGACACGACGAGGTGTGCCGTTTTGGCGGAACTGGTTGCGAATATTTCCGCTTCCGCTCCGGGGGGCGCGGCGGGGGTGGCTTTTGTTTCGTGTCTTCGTTGAAGGAAAATTAATATTTGTTGTCGAGGCGTAACTATGCACCCGAATGGCTGGATTATGCACGGTGGTGGTTGATGATCTTCAAGGAAGATGAGGCGTGAGGGCAATTATCATCCACGGGCGGAAAATCGCGCTAAAAATGTTAATTTTTCATCAGCGAAAGTGAAAATGTGAAGGAAACATGCTAATTACTAATCCCATCCCCCTCCCCCCCTCCTCACTTATGAATGCCTCTCAGATTTTGAGCTCAAATTGCATTTTCGAGTCGATCCATCGTCTCGCCTGCAGGCCGGAGCAGCAGGCTTCGCGCCATGTGCGGGATTTCCCAATGTGCGAGTGAAAGTGGGGTGACTTATATTTTTAGATGCATTAGTTCGTTGTGGAGAATATCCATATTTTTCCAAACTCGGATGATTTTAAAATTTTCTCTTGACCGTTAAATCTCCATGGGAAGAGAATGACGGATATAACTTTCAACGAAAAATGAAACGCGGGAAATTGGAAAGCAGTTTGCATTTTCCTATCATTTCTGTAGCGTTACATGGCTGAGTGTAGTTTAAATATGCAGATCGTGCAGCATTTTTGCATTAGTTACCGGAATGCCTGCTCGAACCAAATTTCCACCAGAACTTTAATGTCACGCAATGTCATTGGAAAACCTGTTTCACGAAGGGACCAGAAAAATTTGACAATTCAAAACTAGTTCGCCATCGATTTCTGCGGATCATCACAGCAAACACAAAGTTAGATAATCGCCAACCCCATCGTCAAACGCAATCTACAGGTTGCCCGAAAGAAAAAAAACAATCCCGTTTTAGGCACTTGCACCCTCGGAGCACCGGGACACCCTGTCGACAATTGATGGAACGGCGCTGGAACACATTGTCCCCCCGCAGGTCATTGTTCGAGGGCCGTTCACCGGGGAGGGCAGAGAGAAACCCTCTCGTGGAGTTGTGAATGCTTCACCATTTCGGTCTTCGGGGCCTATTTGGTACCGTTTTGCCGCTTTACTGGGTCTGATTGGGGCGAATTTTTTTTCAGTTGGAAAAAGAAAGTACGTAATGTGAGACTGCTGCCACGTGGTCTTCCCGTTTCTCGCAGCCGAGGTCGCAGGTGGAGATTTATTTCACGCTGTGGTGTAGTCCTGAATTCTTATTTGGACATACACTGAGCACTAAACGGGAGTCATTTTTTATCGTCTCCGTGGTACAACATTTCACAAACGGTACGTGACAAGCGATTTTTCCTCGGCAAGGTGGAGGGAAAATAACCTCATCCTCATCGCTTGGAAAATGTCGGGGGAGAATCGGGGACACGAGTCGTCATTAATTCCACTAACTTTCTTTTTCCTCACTTATATTTTCTGCTTGTAATAGAATGGGCAGATTTTCCCTTTGTTATTGTGCTGTCTTTTGGCTAATGTGCTGAATGCAATAACAGCATGGCATAACCGTGGAAAGTCACGGTAGATCGCTAACGAGCCGAATGTTCTTGAGGGAATTTAGGATCTCCATTCTTGATTTGCTCCTATTCGACGATCGGTGTTTCCGAATTCGCTTCGAGGTAATTTGGAAATTCGAGTACCCATGAACTATGGGTACTCCGAACATGCAGAGCAATACTCTTAAGAAAGTTTACTTTCTAAGCGAAAATGTAAAGTTTTGCGTTTTTTGCGAGGTCGAATTAGAGCCTATAGGTAGGTTTGCTCTTGTTAAGCGTGCGAAATTGTGCTAAATGTTTTAAGGCATAGTTTAATTTGTCATTGGCACTGCAGTGTACCTATGCTTTCAAGGTGAACAATCTTCAAACTTTTGGTTTCTGATTCCTATTTGCCGTTAAAATTGGCGTGCACGTGCTGCGCCAAGAGCTCACCATTTGGGACTTTTACTTGGTTGCGAGTCAAGTTTCAATTTTTGAACAATTCTCAAACCCCAAATACACATTAAAACCAACTGTGGGTCGAAGCAACTACAATGTGCTAAGTTCCTGGATGTTATTCTGCACCCCGTCAAATTGTTTTAAGAATAATAGGATAATAATTATTAATAATGATCCAGAGTTTGCATTGAAGGAATCGGCAGAGTCCCAGAATAACCATAAAACTCGGAAGAAAATCGATCAACAACGATCTAATTTAGAGTTTGAAACTCCTTGAGACTTATCTACCCGCTTCAACCAACAAATCTTACGAAAAATCGCAAAATGAAAAAATCTGGAAAATCCACCTGGCCTTCCCCGGGGCGAGTTTAACTCGGGAACCAGCAGATGCCGATCAACGCAACGCCGCTGGAAGAAACGAGGAATGGTATGCCGTTTTCCCACTTCCCACCATCCCACTTCCATCATTTCTTTCCCATAAGACACAGAACATAACATGCAATTACATTCGAAGAGATAAAAGAGGAGGGATTCATCGGTTGTGATAATTACTATCGACGCCTGCATTCCCAAGGCCACAAATCACGCGAGGAACCCTTTCCATTACCATCTCGTTGCCCCGTCATAAATACCTGGCTGGATAAACAATTTATCCCCAAAGCGGCACTTTTTCTCTCGACCAGCAGGAGGTCAAAAGGATAATTGCCTCAAAATCACCAGAAGCTCGTTTTCTGTTTGCTTTTCAACCCTGCGTCGGCAGGTTTTTTTTTTTTTTTAATACATTGCATTCGAAATCGTGGAGGGTAGGTTTTTCGGCTCTCAGAAATTCCCATGCCTCAAAGAAAGGAGATGCTATTTTTTTTATTATCTGGAACCGGAGGAGACAGCCGAAAGCGATGCAAAAAAATATTATGTATGCAAAGAGGATTCGAGACTGTAAACGAAAGGCAGAAAATTGGATCAAGGGGTGTGCTGTGACGTCCTTATCAATGAGTCCATTGATGTCAGGCAGATCCTTGGGGATTCAAAGTCCGGAAAAATTGAATCAAGACGAACCGTCGTAGTTCGTGAAAACGGGGCAGAAAATGCGCTACGCCGAGCAGTAAGTTGCCATTGAGTGAAGTTGCCATCGAGTGCGACGCCCTGCGAGATTCGCACATAAATCCCGGGCTCAGAGATTCGTCTCTGTCTGGTTGGTATTCGGCGGGAAGGCGGTAACAAACGAGCGGCCATGATTTGTTGCATTTGGTGAAATATGCCTGCAAACATCTGATGAAGTGACCCTTTTCCGACTTAATTAACAAGGCCAGGGTGAGGCTTTTGTCCGAGACAGGTTCCACACCTCTCCGCGCAGGGGAGTAAATTTTCCCTCGGGAGACTCCCGCTGGCTGCAGTGAGTCGGCGATTCTTGTCTTCCAACACATCGCAGGGCAAATGGTTGACATTCAGGGTGGGTCGTGTCCACATCCTTGGTAGCAGCCATTCCCTCCAGTCAGTGCTTCTGGCAATTTTCGCACATGACATCATATGATCCTTTCCTGCCGGAACAAGTCCCTCTCCATCTCCCCTGAAGAGACAGCCTGCTTTTGCTGATAAGATTAAACATTTTCCAGAAATTCTTCCTCCCACTAGTTTTTTTTTTTCCTCTTAGAATTCCTTCTAATTTCCTACTTCTTGAAGACAAAGTCATCAGAGAGAAAGGAGTATTTTATTCGAAGATTCATCAAACCAACAGAGAAAGAAAGATAGCACTATACCTTGGAGGGAATCAGTATGAGAGGTCGTATATCGAAAATATCTTAGGAGTGACTAGACGAAGTTGGTAGGAAGGCTTTCTGAATAGGCACTTGAACATAGTTCGCAAACATGCGCATGAAAGCCTGCCAACTATCCTTATGTGGTTCTTCCATCTTTCGATGAGTCCCTTGAACTTGGCTTCTTCAACAACACAATGGATTTTTCTTTTCTTACCCCTCTCAACATTTCTTTTTGGCACGGGGTCAGAGGTAAGATGGCCAAGGAGTTGAACTTGGCAGGAACTTCACTCCTGTCAATGAAAGGCCGTCATTTTTGTAGCGAAGTTAACGTGCTTCTTCGCTCGTGGGAACAAGACAGTGCGAGTCTGAGGGGAGATCACAGGCGGGTTGCTATTGCATGGATTCCAACGAAGAAGGTCATAATCGATTCACCAGTAGGAACCAAGCGATGAGACACAGTAACTTTGCTGTCCACGAAATTCCACCCTTCCTTGTCCCTCCGCTGTCTGGTTCGGCTGTCCAAACACACAAGAGAAACCTCACATTAGATCCCAATTGAATGCCATCGGGAGGCATCCACAGTTATTAAACTATTCCTTTTTTTTATCATATTCGTGTTGCATCGTTATATTGAGGAGTTGGTGCTTGAAAAAACATATCAGCGTCCCTGAAGACCTTGAACTTGAATCGAAAGCTTTGTACTCCTGAGCTTGTTTTTTTTTTTTCCCCGAGGTCACCCACAACATTACCTATTATTCACGATCATTGGCCAGTACTCCCTTTTAGCATCAGCATGTGCATTGAAGGTTTAGAAAAATTGGTAGATTCGCTAGGAATAGGGTTTACATTCTCATGCATGGTAACAATTTCATCCCGTGCTACATACTGAACCCTGACTAAGACTATAATGCAGATGACAAGAACGCAGACTCACCTTCTCTAACCACGGTCGGAATACCTGAATGGGAACAAGAGAGAACACAGATCATGCAGGTTATTATCTATAACACCTCACAAAAAAACGAACTAATTGCTAAGGAAAATTAGATCTTCCAATCCATGCAGACGGAGGAACATATTCAGAGCAAGGTGAGTATGAAAGGAGAATGGTGATGATCATGAGCGTGACCTGACCTGTAACTGTACTTCAGTCTGAACGAATTTAACTTTTACTTTCCTGCTGTAAATATATTTCATTCCTACGTTTCCGGATGACTGAATTTCAACAGCTTTGAAATCGAATCGAACCTGCCAGTAATTAAAGCGTCTTAGTGTGCCGACGAAAATTAAGATAAATGTCGCTCCCACTTGTCTACGAGCAAGTTTATGGGGTGCTGCACGGCATGCTGGGGAAATAAAGGCCTAAAGGCAAGATCACACCTAAAGGCAAATTCTCACCAACGGCAAAGAACAGCATAAGGGGGTCTTAGCATAGCACAAGTCACTTCGTTGATTTCCACTCAACTCCCTGCTTAGACACCTCAACCCGTTTCCAGTGTTTGGTGCCAACACGCATTAATTCTTAGAGGAAAAGTGATATGTCTCCCTCCCATGGCCTTAAACAGTACCGAACACTTTAGTAGGCCTAAGCGAAATACTTCTTTCCTTCTTTTTTTTTCCCTATAATGGTGCAATTCCTTCTGCGAAACTCGTGACAGCGGAGGGGAGTCGGCCCTTACACCTAACTCACAAGCGTTAATAGTTCCACCTTACCTGCCAACCTGGTCGTGTTGTATATCATAAACGGCCTTGAATCTAAAGAGCTCTCGCACTAATTTCGGTAGGACTGCGTTTGACTTGCTCGACAGAATGGATTTCCCATTACTTCCCCGCGGGCGTGACTAAACTGCTGCATTTCACCTGATCGATTTTAATTAAGCATCACGATCGCATGAATTACGGCCGCGCCTGGGATTTATGCGCTGTCATACGGGCGTGAGGCGTAATGCTTGCTCAACTTCGGTCTCAGTCAACTCCCGGAGTAAAATGTGCAGCACTTAACTCGGATTTATTGGCAATAGAGATGAGGCCAAGTTGTGCGACTACCATGATCTCGGCTGATATATGGGGATTCTATGCGGAGGGTAGTGGAATAACTTGCATGTATTGACTTTAAAATGGCTGGATGGTCCATCACCGATTGGCTATGGGTCCACAGTATGGACCGTGAAAGGGTTAGTGGGTTATCTCCGAGGCATTCAGGGGCTATTGTAAGTCAGTGAGTCAGTGATATCATGTGAGCAACGTCTCCTCACCAACGAAAGGCTTTTTCGTTCTCCTGGGTCTCGGAGAATCTCCAGTACTTGGGCGTCGGGTCGTCGTACTCGTCGGCCCTACGAAACATACAATCAGTTCCCCTCTTCATTCCTTTTTCTTTCACTTCAAAATGAAACAAGGCGCGTCTTCTTTAGACACGCTCATGGAAAGGGAGCATCAGGCTCCTTTTTTTCGATAGGTCTCTGGAAGTAAAGTGAAGTACTTTGAACGGTATCATCCTTCCTTCGCATCCAGTATCACTTTCGTTGTGGTGCTCTTATAGTTGAATAAAATTCTCACTGTTTGATTAATGGTTCGTAAGTTCCTCGAATGAACCTGTCAAGATGATGTAGGACTAGGAGTCAAGTTCAAATCCTGCCTTTCCGAATAGGTACTGGAGGGTTGAGTGACCTTGGTGTTCATCTCATCTCCAATAATGAGGGGGGAAACGAATGAGAAGGGACAAGGGGCCAGGGGATTTAATCGCCTGTTAACCGCCCGGTGGGTAGAAAAGACTTCTCGTTATCCTACGCTCACACCACACTACGGGGTTTCCCGCTCCCAGTGTGACTGACAGCTCACACGCACACGAGATGGAAGGAAGAAGCAAGAAAGATTGAACAAGCCGAAGAAGAAAAAAAAAGAGGTTCACTTCCTTCGTTCTGCCCCACTTCCTTGATAATGACCAGTCGGAACGAAAGCCATGATTAGCTCCGTGATCCGGCGCATTTACCTCAATCGAACTACCGATTGTCCAAGTCTCTGACACTCATTCACTTTCCCTCCCTCCTTTCCACTCTTAGGATACGTGAGGAGAAATGGGGGGGGGGGGGGGGGGGGGGGGGGGAAAAAAGGNNNNGCGGGGGGGGGGGGGGGGGAGGGGGGGGGGGGGGGGGGGGGGGGGGGGGGGGGGGAAGAGGTCAAAAAGTGACAGACGATAGCGGAATCATGAAAGCACCTGCAGTTCAGAGCTTTTTGTTTGTTTTTATTTCGGATATCCCTTTTGCCTTCCGCCTCCTTTTTTTCTGGTTGCTAATTTGCTTCTATTTTAGAACAATTTTTTTATGTTCCTATGCAGGATTGTATTTTCTCATGTATTGTTTTCGCTGGGACTCGTGAAGGTAGCAATGCTTATAGTTCTAGCTTGGTTGATTTTCTCTTTTTTTGCGTAGTACTGTAAACAAAACAGCAAGCTGCTGGTTTTTTTTTTTCTTTGTTAAGAACTTACGAAGATAAAACGAATTGAAATGGCAAAACAAATAACCAGGAGAATCTTCCAAACGTTAGAATGCTACAAATATATTTAGAGTGGGTCGCTTGCTAGATTCCCTTGCGTTGAGAAATCATGATAGATAGGACTCCTGTCCTAGCTGTGAGACTGAGAGAAACGCCATCGTTCCACATGGTCATCTCACCATCCCTTCCGGCGAGATTATATCGTGATAAGCGAAGAGATTCACGGAAGAGAAAGCCGCTTTATCAAGCCAGGATGAAGCCTGTTGGGGAAACCTGCAAATACGCGTGACACCAGACCTCTCCCTTCCTCCCCTGCCATGCAAGCCAAAACGAAAAAGAAGCGAGAGAAATGTGCTGGTCATTCTCGGAAGTGGTAGTCGCTGTATTTTTTTTTTTTTTACCTTAGCAGGCGGAGGCACCCTGATGAGAAGACGAAGACGGACGGAAATGCTCGACCCTCTTCCAGCCCCGAATTTATTCATGAGAGGCATCGACTAAAAGCCTCTCGAACCCCCATGAATGATTCCAACGTTCGCATTAAAAAAAAATACAAGCCCTACGGTGTTTGCTGCAACAGACCACCCATATCCAGGGGCTATTTTTCAAGTCGAGACAGTCGATATCAAAAGCCCGATGTCGGTTTCAACAACATCATGAAAGGTGTAAGAGGAAGCCGTGAAAAATCAGCCCCTTCAGCCCGTTTTCCACTCCGAAGACTTTGTTTGGACATGAAACATAATAGGAAGAATCTCTCCGGAGCTTCCGCTTCACCGATTTCCATCCCGTCCTGCTTTTTTACTGCCTTCTTTGCGCATCTTTCCGTTTCATTAAACGCGGAATGGACGTATCTATGTCCAATCGTACATCAAACTGCATCTGAAGAAATTGAGGCTTTTTATACGCAAAATGTATAATGGCAGAATTCCTGTCCCGTCGTCTTACCTGCCGACTCATTCAACCGACATTCCATCCTTGTCCTCAGACCGATACAAATTGGAGGCTATTAGAAACACCATCTCCCCCATCAGCCGCATATGAAGAGAAAGAGACATGGAGACAGGACTCCAGTAGCATGTGTCCAGTCGACGAAGAAGGTCAATAATTCCCCTTCAACGTCTATTGTGAAAAGGAGGGAGGGGAGAAAAACACTTGAAAAGAGCTTGTTATCCGGACACGAAGGCATTCTGCACCTGGGCTCTCGTCGTGCCTTTAGGCAGGGGAATACAGTAGTCGAGACGGGAGAAAAGGACTTATTTCCTCCGGAATAAACCCCCTATAAAGTTCGATTCGGCTCGCCTCATTGGTGACGCCTCTACCTGGATGTGAGTCAGCAGTTTCTCCCCTCAAATGCATGCATGCGCCTTCACTGAGGGGACCATTCTTTTACAGATGCCAGCTTAGGCTCCCAACTTTCCCACATTTCCGGCCTATTGAATGCCATCGGTTTCAATCTTGAAGATGAAGTGAAATGTCAGTTCCACTCCGTCTCATTTGTATGAGCAAGGACACAGTCTCTGTCTTTTTGACGCAACGACAATTCATAACAAACACCAGGATCACCGCCAAATTTTCTTCTCCACATCGTTTTATGCAAAATTGACGGTGGCAAAAGCGAGGGGGCAATGTAATTAGGAAAACTGAAACGCATAGCGGAGAAGATGAGAGGAAGTGCTCCCTTGTCATATCGCATAGGTGACCAGGGACCTTTTTCCCTGAGAGAGGGTTCCCGAATATCACCTGGCGTTGGTGCCTCCCACTCTTGGTCCTTCACGACGACTTCCCTTTCCTCTACCTTCAGTATTCCTGTTCCGTTCGACTGCGCAACATCATGAAATCATATCCTATCCGACTCAGTCCGAGGGGGGGGGGGGGGGATTTCGCTCGACGCCTTCTGCGTGCGCCGACAAATTCTGCGGGACCTTCCTCAACTATGTAGATAATGCAGGTGCTGCTACACCCGTCGTAAACAAGGTTCGACCGTTCAGACTGGAGGTCTACTTTGACGAAAATGATGTCACCACAAATGGAGATACCAGTGTCATCGATAGAGGTTTCTCCCTGGATCGGGCTGAAAAAGAAAAACCTGCAAAGCGTGGCTACAAACCTCTTCCCAATTTCTTCCCGTCCTGGCACTTCTCTCCGCCTTCCCTTCCGTTCTCTGTAAATTAATGGCCCAGTATTCTGCAGTCAAACGTGTAGAGGATCGAAATTCTTTTCCCTCGAAGGCATGTTTCGCTACTTTTGATTAGACTCAGGTTCAGTGACTGTATTTATCCCACCCTGGTCTATTGTTTGTTGAGACCTGAACGAATCACTCGGTCACTAATGTCCTTGTTTTCATTCTACACTGACCTGCGAAGAATTTGATGTCCCTGCGAAGCTTGTAAGGGGTTCCAGGGATGCTGATGACGCACTCCAGGATGACATCACCCCAGAGTTCTCTGGTGTTCACCAGGCGAGTCAGCATCACTGCATATCCTTGCCCGTCGACATACGTCAAGTTCAATCGACCGCCCAAAAGGCGATCTCTCGTTCTGGAAAAGAGGAAAATAATGCATGCAACTTCCCTTGGTGCACTTCCAACGTCAGAGTCTCAAAATGCGAGCAGCCTGGAGAGTGACAAAGACGAAGGAAAGATCTATTTGTGGAAACGAAGGAAGAGTTCTTAGAACAAGAGCTGCCCTCTGCTCGAGAGGCGGAAACTCGTCAAATGCGACACCGCAGCTCACTTGTACTTGGCTCCGTAGTAGCTCGTATTTTCTTGACGGAGAGCGCGGGGACGAACGGACGTCATGAATGGAAGGGAAAATAATATCTCACAATTTTTCATCTCCCTCCTTCAAATCGAATCCGAATAGTTGCATGTTCTGATTGGGATACAGTAGCAGACCCTACATAGAATTCCTGTCTGCCAATACGCCAAGGCGAAGGGAAAACAAGGCCCAATGCTTCCCGTGGCATTGTGAGGAGAAACGATTTCTCATTCCAGAGCTAGGTTATTGAAAGCCCATGACAGGGATAAATGGAAAAGTTGACAATTTTATCAGCTCATGAGACGGCCTCGTTTCTTTTCTCTCAGAACGAGTTGGGACTCACAAAGAACATGAGAAATGACTCCACCCCACGGAATACCTTCATGTAGAAAACGCATCCGTCATGGCTAGATGATTTTGCGCCGACGAACAATTCGGGGTGGCGTGAGCATTTTCGCTTCTGTTACAACCCCAGGATGAAATCCATTTCCGTCCAATACACCAAAAGCAAAGACATAAAAAGGAAATAGAGGAGGACTCTTCTAACCTGTCGGTTCCTGTGCCGGTGGGGGCATCCACGAAGATTTCCACCTCTGGTTGTGGAGAGATGCCGGATGCTGAACAAGTGATCATCTCCATGTCCCCGCCATTAGGAGCATCTTGGATCTCGAATGTCATGATCTTTGCTGGGGCTGCAATCAAAATACAAAATAGCAACAATAACAACTGTTCGTACTTTGCACTCGTCACTTCAAGTTCATGATTTCACGTTCCATAAAGCATATTTTGCACGTCTTTGAATGCAAATAACTCCTCTTAAAAGTGCATGACAATATGTATATATTTATTTTAAGTTAGAATAAATTGTTGGATCGTGTGTCAAGCTAAGTACGCAGGAGGAAAAGTCTAAAACTTCACCCACTCTCTAGTCTACACAGATCGTAGCCGATTTCGCATTTTTATTTTCCCCCTTGGCAACAGAACCACTGAATCGCAAAAAAGAACTGCATCCCATCTCGAAAAGGAAATGCAGGCCTTCGAGCCTCCCATGATAACCCCCGTTGTTCTTAGCATCACGCGCTCCTTCAAGACTGTCAGATGTAAACAGCAGGGTTAATCTTGACAATACCGGAGTTCAAATGTGATACTCGAGGTGGGTGAGGCAACAGCAGTTGGCCCCATAGTTTCTCTCTGTCATTCTTCATGATCGCAATTCGTGGACCTGGAAACGGTTCTTATCTGCATATCATCTCCCGATTGCCTGGAGGCTAGTCCACGCGCATGGCAAAGGAAAACCTAGCTTCATATCTCATAATATCATCTGATACAAGCCATATCAAATTTGTTAACGTCATCCCGGAAACTAGAAGCGAAACCTCTTGCATGAGAACTTGAGATGCAATAGTTGTCATGTTTAGAAGGCTAGACCGTTATACCCGCCTGCATTTCCGAAACCGGCCACCAGTCGATATGACCACGAGTGACAGCAGGGTTACCAGGAGATTTTTTCTGCTGCCTCTGAATCGCCATTCTTCACCCACGCATATCCAGATGGCAGCCTCATTGGCCATTGGCTCAACATTTGCGTCGTGCTTTCGACATCGCAAATAGCAGCTCATGAATTAGTTCTCTCTCATGTTGAAGTTCCTATTCACGAGCCAAGCCTGAATGTCAGTGTCCGTGATGCCCTGTGGGTCTAGGATATGAACTACGTCGATTGTGTGGTGCAGTTCCCTATTGACTTCCAGAGCTGGTGATTCTTGCGTTTTAGTGGGATACGAGGCTGAAAATAGGATTATTTTAGGGCTTGACCAAGATTGAAAGTGAACCGTGAAAACGACTCGCATGAATGTGCGAATTGGGCCCACATACCGTTATCGTAGAGGAGTGATTGGATTTCGATATCCAAGAAGATTGTTATAACTGGTACCAGCATCCTGTCGTAAGAACGCTTAAGTCGAGTCGTTGAAGATCGTAAACCAGAATGGTAGGTAATAAAAAAAAAATTGATCCAGTGGCATGTCTGACGCTCTTAGCATGTTCCCTCTTTCAAATTCCCCCAATATCTTCAAAGAGGACATTCTCAGGAAAATGGCGAAATAAGCTGCATATTAAACAACGGAACCCAAAAGCTGATTGCCCGCATTTGGCAGGTGCGAAAAAAAAGTTCCCATTACCCGTGTCGATGCTTATCAGACTCGGTTTCCAAGGCCTTCCGAGTATCTTGAACGTCAGACACAGGGCGTGTCTCCGGTTTGTGCCATGCATTGAGGGAGAAGGGCATGGAAAAAGAAAGAGAAAGAGAAAGGGCGTGGGCCATCTGAATCCGCGATAAGGCCCAAAATGCAAACAAGTGCTGGACGTGGGAGAGGTAAGAAAAACTCAGTCATATTCGAAATGTATTCAACGTTCAAGGACTTTCTTCTCTCTAGAAGCCCAATACCAGGGAAACTATTTTTCAGATCAGTCGAGTCATACGGTGCAAGGGGAGGGTACAATGCGTGCCAAAGATGACAGCGAAAGAATTCTGCTGATTGCCTCGAGCTGGGAAAAAGGATACAACGAAAGAACTCCCCCCGATTGCCTCGAGTTGAGGCAGGATATAATTAGAACACCGGTCTCTGTCTGACCCTGCTCTATAAATCTAAATATGAACTACGCCAAGCCTTTATGGATGAGATCGAGACCGTAACGGCACATATTTCGATCTGGATTGCCCGAAGGCTCCCCGATTGGTGGCATGGACCCTATTATCCACACGCGATTCGTAATACGCCTCTAATAGGGGGGACCTAGACGGAGAGAGAGAGAGAGAGAGAGTGAAGTTGGTTCTCCGACATCATGTATATGCATGGAGAAGCGCATATAATGTAGGGGTCTAAACCTCAGAGTGCCCGGTGGCAATCACCCTCTGTTATGTATGTATACTGTCAAACCAAGGTGAGATCTGGGACCGAGATGGAGGAAGCCTGTAGGGACCATTATACCACTATTACAGGATCTCGCGTGCACTGACTAGAGGGCGTTAAGGGAACGATTATCTCCCTTCACAGATACGGTATGAGATTTCTTTCGGTGAATGATCCAGAGCAATTTGTCCGCCCTCGTCCTCGGGCCAAGGATGGTTTTTCTTTCCTCGGCTTTCCCCTTCAACCTCTGCGAGGGAACACACTCTGACAACCGGAGATAATCCCCCTGTCGGTTTGTGAGCCTTCCAACGACGCAGGATGCCCAGGATGCAAGTATGCCTCAAAAGAGAGAGAGAGAGAGAGAGAGAGGTCACGACTTGGATGGAAAAAAAAAAATTTCTGGTAGAGAGGAAAAGGGAACTTTTCAAATACTTATCAGTGGCATGAGGGTGTGTCGGAATCGCGAGAGAATGAATGAATGAATGAATCAGGGATGAATGACGAAGCACATCCCGTACAACAGCTCAATGGTAACTCAGATGAACCAGCTGATGCCTGCCTGGCTCTGCCCCGCACTTCAATGGCATGCAACTTCTGACTTCCGTGAACTATCCGGTCCGTGGGTTTTAGTATGAGGCCCCCCAATAAAAAATAAGAGAGCGAGGCCTTCGACGCCAGTACCATCGTAAAAGGTAGACCTTGTCCACAGTGGATCCTATTTTCCAAGATTTATCATTTTAGCCAGAATGTTGAGAGCAAAAAAGTGTCCTTCATACGTCAAGACAGATGTCCCATACACGCCAGCAAGACGAGAGTGTTGCACATATTTCAACACGTACCGGACATTGATGTTAAATACTATCTTTATAGAAGTGAACGTAACACTATCCTCATTCTCGGGGATTCTGTCAAGCGTGAGAATCTAAGAAGGATGAAGTCGTCCGTCTGGCGGTGACACTGTCACAGGGGGATAACGACATCCCAGCACCAGAGACATATAATCCACGTACTATATTACTGCTGTCAACCGCCAAAGCAGTCGGCAATGGGAAATAAATTCCAGCTCCCGTGTTTCAAAAATTATCCCAATGAAGTGACAGAATGAAAACTGTGAAAACTCAAAATGAAAAGTTTCTAGTTCCTATTCGAAAATTTGCAACAGACTGGAAACGGTACTAAAACTGCATCTTCTGCGCTAATTGATTAAACAGAGGCTGCTATTTTTGCACTATATTCCATAAACTGACATTTCAAAAGTGGACGCGGGAAAGTCTTTCTTTTCCCTCAAACTTGACCCTAGATTGTTCTATTTTGGCAAGTTTCGTTTTATGAGGAATGCCTACGTAAGGTGTACATAAATCTAGGCAGTTTAAAATCTACAAGTTTCCGCGAGCTGAGAAAGTTCTGAGTCCCACCCTCTTCTTCTCGATCGAGAAATTGAGAGAGACTTCAGTCTAATTCAAGTATGCACGGGGAGGGAAAAAAAAAGTACACGCTTACTGTCATCTAGAAGTACAATGACTCATACGAGGGAATTATAAGGAGAGAACATAACTCTAAAGATGAAGATAGAAGAAACCAGTCCTTCACGTCAAGCGGGAAGGATATACGTCACATACAAGGGTGACAAATGCATGTATGCATATCAGTTCACTGCCTCAAGGTCGAAAAAAAGGGAAGACCAAGAAGGGGGGGGGGGGGAAATGACATTAACTCACCGTATACAGTCATGGTCTTCATGGCAGAGTCTTCCCCGTCGAACGAACTCACTCGACACTTGTAAGACCCACTGAGATCCGGACTCGGATGGAGGATCTTCAGCGCCCGGTACTTCGTGTAGTCGTCCCCGCTCGCCTCGTAAGTCAGGTCCAATCTGTCCTTGAGGACTCCTAAATCCTGGGGGGGTTTTGCACCTGGGATCCACTGATACACCGGGAATGAGTTCTCGTTGAAATGCCACTTCACCACGAGACTGTTTTTCTCCCGGTCTTCGAAGGAATAATCGCAGTCCAGGATGACGAACTCTTCCGAGTTGTACTTCACGAAATCTGGCACATGAAGTGCCTCGATCTTCACTCCCATTATCCCTGGCGTAAGGAAAAGAACGATTCCCGAATCAGTATGAATTCACGTTCAACGTTCATGTACCACGTAGCATGGTGAGACAGGCTGCGTTAACTACCTTTATACTGTCTCATGCAGACGCATAAGCCAGTCTTACTGGGGTAGCTTCATCATAATTTTATAACAACGTCCGAAAGAATAAAATTATATAACGCATATTTAAAGTATAAAAGAGTGTATTGCATCCGTTTGTGATTCATCCTTCCCCCCTATGGCCTAGATGCATTGCATCGTGTCCAGGTGCTTTTGCCCGCGAGGAAAGATGAAAATGAGCCGGGATGGTCTTATAATGATCATGTTTCTATATAGTCAACGACCTTCACAGCTAGGGGCTTGGAATGAAAACGTGCAGAGGAGTTTTTGTCATTGACGAGGATAGAATCCCCAAGAGAGAGAGAAAAAAAAGAGCGAGGGAGATGGATGTCTATAGGTGGCAATAATCTGAAGACTACCTCGGGCTGGGACCCCTCAGGGGTTGTTTTTATGATGGATCTTCCTCAAGCACGGCTCCAATGTAATCAGATCAGTCACTTTTAGAGCGAGATTGCCCATTACCGAGATTACTTCCACGGGGGCGGCTGAGGCCACTCCGTCTCCCGTTCCTCCTTCATTCGGGGACCATGCTAAAAAATGTTTCATTTTTAACTCCGCATTTGAGTCGTTCATCTTTCTCGAAGGGAACTAAGTCATCGGAGAACATCGAGGGAACAAGGTTTCAGGAAGCACTGCATGGAGCACCGCTTGTCCTGGAATTTCATTATGAGAATATGATCACACGATACTAGGCGAATCCATTATGAGGCTCATCGATCTTGCTCCACATGAAAGTGGTTAAGCCATAAGTGTCAACTTGTGCAGCTGAAAATTTCTTGTATGTACCGCATCCTTCCCAGACTCCACGCGGTCCGTCTCCTATCGACATCGGAAATTCTTGACCTTTTTTTTCATATTTAATGAGGTCCATTTGAGTGCCTTCTTCGCATACTCCTCTCGGGTTCTCAGTCGATCTGGGCCGTTAACGCCCACGGGAAAGTGGCCGAGCTCCGAGCAAATATTTGACTTGTTAATGGCAATCGCACCGACATGACGGAACGAATGTATTTAGAGAAAGGTTCATGAAGCACCGTTTGACGTGGACCCAAATCCCATAATAGACAGTCCAGGGTTCTGGGTTTGTGACTCAACTTTTGGGTCCATGACTCAACTTCTCCCTCTCCCTTCCTTCTTCCACGTACTTTCGGCGATGAAAAGTGCGATGCCTTGTTTTGGCAACATTCGTGTCTTGGCAAGTGCTTCTCTCTCGCCGAACCACTTTCCTCCATTAGACCTAAGGTAAAACGAACGCAGCTAATCTCGACCGCCAGGGATTTTTCTGCCTAGACTTCGGGCCGAAGTGTGTGAGGGTGTGAAGTCAGTAATTATATGGGGTTCTCTCGATGCCACGATCGCGATACGGTGAGATTCCTTAATTTGTGGGGGGAGGAATGAGGAGCCGGAGGGTTGGTATTTCCCCCTCTCTTTTCACTCCTAAAACCTGTTCTCGAGACCTCTCATTCATCACGGGCCTTATTCCTCCTCATCGTAATTACCTTTTATCCGGATCACGTCTCTATCAGGCAAATGCCGCGGCGCGTGTTCCTCTCTCGTGCAGCGAGAGGAAACAGCGGATGCAGTCATAGGAGGAGATGCGGAACAAGTCGAGTCCGACGTGAAACAATGACCATTATGACGAGGAAGTTTCCGCCTGCACGGCGTCATGCTTCGATTCGTGTCGTTTCACCTTGCCCTCACAATTCATTCCGGCTCCCCAGAAGCACGCAAGTGTCCGACGACCTCCAAACTCCCTTCACAATGGATATATAGAGCGTCTAAAAAAAAAACCGCTTCACTAATTATCTACGGAGAATAGATAAAACTTTACCGCGAGGGAAAAAAATCAATCCAGGCTTCTTTTGATTAATGCCTGCCTTCCATAAGGCAGATAATTTTGAGAATAAAGCAGAGATGATTCAAACTAGCTAGCACGATTACTGAGTCATGAATCTAAAAGAAAACCAGGATTTGTTTTCTGATTCCAGAGTCACCGCCAAAGAATATTTGGTTCGAGCTAGATGGGAATGGTGCCAATTTGACGAGAGATTCAAATGAGAGAGAAGAAAGATGCGAACACTTTGGCTAATTATTATTTTTTCCCTTTTGAAGCTGGACAAAGTATGGTCCATCGCGGAGCCAGTACTGCCTCTGAACTCTTAGAGCTTTTGCGTTTGACAGGGTCTCATTTCAACTGAATATCTACTCTACCTGCTGTCATTTCAGAAGCGCAAAATTCAATTTAAAAAAATAATTGGCTTTAGAGCTACTAGAGTGGAGTTCAAATTTAAAAAAAGATTCGATTCGATTCGATTTGACATTCGAGAGATTCGATTCTGATTCGTGGCTGGCTTAAAAAAAAAGTGCCGTGAAAGTCATTATTAGAATCTGGATTTGTCGTTTCAAAAGCAATGGTAATTTGAGTAAAATTAGAATATCATAAATCTGATTCGAGTGCCTGCAGGAGGGAGAGAACCAAAGAGATTTTGGGAATTTCAACACAAAGCCAAGACGATCTTTTGCTGGACTTTCTGCATTTCCTTTGCAAGACGGAAGAAGCAGAGGGACAGGGACATCATGCCACCGCTGGATCACAACAAACATCCCCTGCAGTAAGAGACGCCAAGAATAACAAATTCTTATTTGTTGGTCTAGAGGTTTGTAACGATGTAGGGAGGTGGCAGGTGGGGTCGGGTGGCCAATAGCTACCGGTGGAATCTTGAATCCCATTGGTGGCGATTGTTATATGGAATGAAAGGAGGGGGTGAACGATTCCATTCTGAGCTTCCACCAACAAAGATAAAATCTCAACTGGTAAAGTGCACACAAGACGGATCACCAATATCCCCATAGAAAAAGGATGAGGCTTTAAAAATAAAAACTCTATAGAACTGCAACTACTGTATGTCAAAACGAGACGGGAGACGCTCTCCCGGAGAAAAAGAGGGGAAAATAAAAAAAGCCTCTCGGCGGCGAGGAGAGACACTGCAGTGGTAATTCCCTTGTAACTCTTTGAGGATGCCGAGGGCAAGAAAGTCATCATGAGATGGAGATCAGAATGTAGACCGCAAGAGAAGTGAAAAATGGCCTTCAATCGGCCTCCAGGGGAGATGGACCCTGCAATGTTTGTGTCTCTACGTGGACCCCGTAATTGATGAGTTTCTGGCACTTGCCTCCATTACTAAGATTCTTGCAAGCCCAGCCCAGGCGAGGGGAAACTCCAGGAAAATTGGTGACGTCACGCAATCCCCCACGCCCAAGATTTATGTGACAGTGAAACTTAATACCCCCCCGAAAATCGCAGCTTGTGCGCGTTTTCACGCCTACTCCTCCCTCGGAACTTCATTAACGGCTCCTCATCTCACTTCTCACCTATCACGTCTCACTTCTCGCATCCACGCGACTGCCTCTACGGCCTTCGTGTTGCACCCACGATGATTAGAACCAACTAGAACGATCATGTGCTTCTCATCCGAGGTCGAGGGGGGAGTGCCCAATCTTCCTCTCCAATAAACGGGCTCGACCATTAAGAATCTTTATCTGGAGTGATTGTGAATTCCATTGTTGATAATTGTTGGGAGACAAAGGAAAAATTGGCTTTCTCCAAAATCCAAGGACTTTCACAACAGCCTGGCAGTACCTTCTATGGGAAAGCTTCGAATCCAGAGCCATTTTCCATACCATGTAGTCATCATGATGCTCTTACGGAGAGCTAGAAATGGATAGGGATCTTTTTTTTTTTTCCTTACGAAACGCTATCTCTAATGATCCAAATCGAGAGGGAGATTTATTCGCACCATAACGGGATCAAAGCAGCATCACGCAAGAAATCCTTTTGTCATCCTTCATCCCTCATCCTGATTGGTCAATACCTTTGCTACCAGCGGATTTTCAAGCGGAACATCAAGGCATATCTAGAAAAGTGAAGCATAAAGGACGAGGAGGAGCCTTTTTAACTCCTACTATCGCCCTATCAACGATCCATATCAAAGGAAGTCAAATTTCCGTTTTTGCGGGCCATCACCTGCCGGTTTCACCATGCCTACAACAGAACCCTTCAAAAACGTCCCAGGAAGCCATTGTTTCCCTTCCGGCTACACGCATCGCAGGACTCGATGGGTAGATAGGGAGAGTAGGGACGAAAATAGGAGAGAAGTGGCTGTAATACACTTTTCCAAAAAGATAACAACCTCGTCAGGTAAGCATGCATTGTATCCTCCAGGGTGGCCCTTGCCTACGAGTGCATAGAAGCTCCTAAGAATAAAAATGGGGAACACCTTGAAGGGTGCATGATGGCAATGATTAACGGGCAATATTTTTCTTTAGAAAGCTGCATTATTTGAGAGGGTATGCAAGTGGACGGGGGCGTTCGCAATAAGGGCCCAGCCTTCTAGGCATTAGGATGCCCATTAGCGAAGACTGCACAGAACCTCCTCCCCATGGTGCACCCTGGGATTCAAGCACCCAACCTGGAGCCCTCTTCGCTTTGCATTTTTCCTATGCATATTAGAAACCCCCGATAACAGAAGCAAAGATAAATTACGTTTCCACTGCTTTTAATTAGGCGCCGAAGATATGGATTGGATTCCTGCTTTGTCCGATGACTTCAAGGATGTCGGCACCATCCATCTACTACCTTCCGACCGTGACCACGCCGAAAGGGAGGGAGAGGGAAAAAGATCAAGTTGGGAGAGGTGGAAGACAGCAGTGGATCATCTTTTCATGCCATTCGAATTTTCATTTTCGCATCTGATGGTTTCCGCAACTTACACGCTCCTTTTTCCTGGGTAAATTTTTGTCCATTTCAGCAAAATGAAACGCGAATTCGAACATTTTCGTTTTGGATCCCGTTCAGATACGCAAACATAAATACAAGGGGGTCCAGAGAATACGTTCATACCAGAATTACAGGAATGTTGACGCAAAAAAAAAGAAGAAACACATGCACAAAATCTGGAAGGTGTCTTGACTTGAAGATAAGGCATGCTTTTCTCATCTTTTTTATTTATTCAACTGGTCTCATAATTTTAGTAAATGTGATTATTTATTACGCTACATATTCCATCTGGAAGCCTAGCACTGCGGACTTTATTGAGATTGCCGATGATCTTGAAGCGGGAACTAAGCTCCCTAGGACATGACTCCTGAACTTGAACCATCAATCTCGGATCGAAAATGGAGCTAAAAATGCTAATTTCTCATTAACTAGAACGAAGATGATAAAAAAAATATGCATTCCAGACGTCAAAACACGCCCAGGAGGATCGAACCCCTGGCTTCCGCTCCTCCATTCACCCTATGCCTTGGTCCTTGTGAGGGCTCAGGTTCGTCTTAAGTCAAGTCGCATAGGGGGGAGGTGTTAAGGAAGCGGAGGGAGAGGGCAGAGATGCCTCCGGAAACCGCTGCGGCCAATTTGGTAAATGGCCAATTTTTTTTTTATAACCAACAGCAAGCGCAATCCTTGCCTGTATGCTCCGCCTCCCTCATAAATTTCGCTGCATTCATTGCAATTGAGGTTTATCGTCAGTGACGAATAGCAGGCACATACAGAACAGAACTTTCGTCTCGATTTCGAAATGTTTCCAACCACAATGTGGTTGGAAATACTAAGACGGTTTCTCCGTCAAAAGAAGAGAGTCTTCCTAATATCCGTGCAGCACTTCGTGCTGAGCTACAAGCAGCGAAATCCAGATCGTTCTTGCATCCAAATAAGAACAAATTAATGCTTTGGGCGATACGAAAATCCAAGTAATGCTGAGTGGGCATAACACAAAATGAATCCAGAGATTGCACTTCTATAAATGCTTCATTTTTTTCCATATGACGCTGCTCGCCCTGATTCATTCTTATTATACAATTGAATGTTCATTGAGAAGCGGCGAATATTGTTGAATAGAGAGAAACAAGTTGAGAGCGCACTGGACGCCATTAGTCACAGTTGGGTGCCTTGATTCTACCATCCCAGCCTTGGCGAAAACATAACTTTAAAAGCTCTTGACACGCTTTGTTGTATGGGAGACCGGAGAAAGTGGGAGGATGATCTATGTCCAAGTCTCCAGCCGAGCAACTCGTCTCAACATCGGCAACATATATATCTTCTTTCGCACCTCCGCCCCACAAATCACAAGCGCTAACAAGTCCCATTTCAGAGATAATGAAGACCGAGGAGGGTGGCATTCGTGATTTGCGATCGTCCCAGCGTAAGTGTAAACGAGCTGCGAAACGTCTTCGAGCACCAGTTGCAACCTGGACGTATCCCTCATTCGCATCTCGCGGTGTCATGTCTAATGTCTTGTCATGTCATGGTCATCCGTGAGGTCAGGTCTGACATGATGGGGGAGGAGGAAAAAAATCACGCTGAGAATTGTCTCTCCACGTCCCATGATTTCGAAGCCTGGCTTTTCCCTCTCGTTACACGCAACATTACTCGATACCCGTGCTCATATCCTACCAATGGAGAGATCTCTTCGATGTTTTTGCCGATGTCATGTCTACTCGGTTGTGAAGTAAAGCGAACTGAAAACTAAAGTTCGAGGGAGGAAAAATGTATTTTCTGAAGTCCGTTTTGGAATTTTGATAAGGATTCAGTCCCATGGTTTGGAGATACAAATCGAGTCCATGCCCTCTACACAATACCTAGAGCGGACTTCGCACTGCATATGAAGGCAATCGGGTAGAGGGTAAAACGTAAATTCATCCCGAGTGAGGGATTTTGGGGGCTTTTTGATACTCGCCCAAGCGGGAAAACATATTCGTACGAAGAGAAGAACATAAACTGCGCTCTTTTGTGCCGGTATTGACCTCATAACATGACTCTAAGGGTATTTGCATATCATGGGAGTTAGTATGACACTAAAAATTATGTCCGAAACGTGAAAGCATTCGCCTTCGAAACCGATATGACCATTGTAAGTTATCACGAGAACGTATGCTCACGAGTTGTCGCACGACAGAATAATAAGTTCATAAAAATCCATATCCATAAAATTCCTAAATGATCAGTTGAGTTCCCTACTGGAGCAGAATGAATATAGCCAGCCACCGACCTAGACCGGATAAGCGAGTAGTACTGCCTAGTGTTCCATTTTTATAATCGTTGCCCGAAGGTCCCTAGCTACAACCGAGTATATTGCTCCTGGCAGAAGAAACAATAGGAGACAAAATAACAAATTTTTTCGTGGACTCACCTTGAGCAGAAATGACGATGAGACACGTGAGTAGGGTTAAGACACTCGGGCTGGGAAGCATGGTTTGTGCGGCCCTAAGCCTAGTTCCACGAGGGGGATGCGAGAAATAAGGCGTAAGGGCTTGGCAGGAAACAGTTGGAAACATGAACATCCACATCGGGGTCGGGAACGTTCCGCAAGAATTCCTCCCCCCCTTGCTTTTAGTTTCTCTCATCCGGTGTATCGGAGGAAACACGCGCACACCTGAGTGTTGCCAGCAGCCGTGCCTCCCATCCCGCCGCCCTCCTATCAATGCATCGGGGGAAGGGGGATGCGGGCAGCGGCACAGGAAGCACCTGTGCGCGGCTCAGCAGACGACGCCACCTCTCCGACATCTATCGAGTGAAAGGGGAACCACAACCGTCGCTGCACGACTATGGCCAACGGGCAGAATGATATGGTTCGTACATCTTCCAGAATGTTGCTCGGAATTCGTAAGGGGCACCCCCTGAGGGAAAGATTCATGTACAACGCTGGTGATTACAGCAGGAGTTGGGAGATCATTGATCAAGGTGATTCTCGAGAAATATGGGCCTTAATGGTAGAGGAGGGTCTCGGAGGAATTCCTCCTCCAAGTCACTAAAGCATGTTAGGGCTACCTGATCCACACGTGGTTGGTGATTCTATTTTGGAGCAGGGAGCTGGCAGAAAAAGAAAATTATTTTTCAAGCCATCTGGAGGGCAGCCAGGCGGGCTCATGTATTTCGACCTCCTGAGTCTCCTGCATCCTCCTCATGCAATCCACAATTCTGCGAACACATTCATGTCTTCTTGACAAAGAGCGAGAGAGGATTGATGATACTCAGAGGACAGTGATAGTTCGAGGAGAAATCTCTCTGCTCTTATGAACAAGAAAGCACAAAAGAGTCATGGCGAAAAAAGGCAGAGCTGAATCGATTTGGACGATCGAGGAATCACCCATCACTGTCTCCGGCTGAACAATAGGATCCCCTCTGCATTTGATTATTTTGTCGAGAACATACTGAAAGCTGGAGAAAGGCATTGGGAAGGCAATGAAGAGGGGGGATGAGAAGATTGAGGCAAGGAAACGCAGCTCATGTCAATCTTAGACGATGTAGCTTCCGTAGTGTGTGTTTAGATGTCGCTGTCGTGCATATAATGATCCAAGCCAACGTAGCAGACGACGCGAGCAGACGACGCAAGGGCGGCCCCTTCGGCTTAGCAGAAGGGAGGCGTCTTCGAGAGTACCCACTCGGGCATCTCTCACAAGGAAACTCGTGGCCGTCGCAGGAGCTTCGTTCCCGCTTCTCTCATGGTCTTCGCACCACGTGTTGCATCTTCCTTTCGACTGTGCCGATACAGATGTGAATACTATCAGTGATTTCATTGCCTCGATTGGGACTGTGAATCGCAACATGCAGTCGGACCAGAGGACGCAAGAATCTCGAAATAAATCTGGATTTCTGCCATATTCCCGACTATTTGGGTGCTACGTCTTCCTCATCTGCATCCTTGGAAGCTCCTATGCTCAGTCAGGTGGGTGTTGGCTTGGAACCTGTGATTGGCTTGAGTCCCTTTCTCGCGTCTGCCCCCCATGAATGAGAAACAGGCAAAAAGGATACGCCGCAATCCGTGCCAAAAGTCTCTCGGTAGAGGTCGGCAAATATTTTTCTTATTTATACCATTGAATGATGGAAAGAAAAGGTGGAATAGATGGCAATCCAGATACAGAGATGTCTGAGAAAAGAAGGTGCGGCGAGGTGAGCGTCTCGGATAGTGCTTTTTCTCCGTCTTTTTCTTTTCCATCACGAAGGAATCAAAGGTCGGAGGCGATCCATCACATGGCGAATGTCACTGGAGACACAGGAGGCGTGACATTCTTCTACGCCTCTTTTGATAACATATTTTAGGTCCCGTTGTCCCTTGCTCCATCTCCAGCGTACTCAACCTCTATAGATTCGTTTGGAAATTCTTTTCACCCAATTAATCAATTGGAATTTTCCCATTCTTTTGGGATCCATTCTTATATTCACTAATGAGCTCTTGATATTCTATGCGATCTCTTGATGTGACTTTATATCAAATTCGATATTGTCCTGGAAGTAGAGGAGGAAGTGGAAGTGATCCAATTTTTTTAAGTTTGATTTTTTCCACCCTCGCTGAGATGACGTGACGAAAGTGGAGATGGGAACAAGAACGTGAACTCTCGGTCCCCCGCTCTGAATGAGAGGCGAGAATCGTGAGAGGTCGTAGGGAAGTGGTGAATGGGCAATAATCAGACAGCCCTTCATTAAGATACTTATTCATCAACCTCGACCCTCATGAAGTACTGACCGCTAGCTATATAGCAGTGCAGTGGCGTAATCCTTCTCTCATGGGGTAATTAGATGGGTTAATGTCCCGGAACTGTTTCTAGGGCCAGGGGGGGATGGGGACCATTAGATGAGACTTCTCTCTTCGGTGCACGTGGATGAAAAATCTCCTGAATGAGTACTTGCATGAGCTTCTGCAGTCTCTCTCTCTCTCTGCCTACTTTGCCTCTTGTTAACCGTCCTCACAGATGAAAATGAACCGGAATGGATATACCCCCATGTAATTACCCTACATTTCGACGCATAGCAATCAGTTTTCGTGGCTGACATGGCCCACAGTACCGCAGGGTTAATTCTGGGTGGCATATACGGTCTCATGCACGCATACAAGTGAGATCACTTCTCCCTTCATATGGGATTCCCATAGTGAAGTGGGATTGCATGACTGAGGAGGGGAGGGAGAGAGGAGGAAGGTTATCATCGGGAAGTAAAAACTGTGGGTAGCGTGATTCGGGAATTATTATGCCTTCCTATCAGTTGGACGAATCGATGGCGGCTCCATCAACTCGCACCGACCGACCCGCCTTCTCCCCTTCCGAATATTCGAGCCATTAGATGCTTATGGACGTCTGAGCTCGTATTCAATAGTATTCTTATTGAACCCGAGCCCTGGATCCTTTGGAATCTCCATAGTTACAGTCGAGGAGGGGGGAAGGTGGGGGATGTAGGGATGCATATACCTCAATCTTCAGACTTGGGTCAATTTCTGCTTTCCGGTTTTTTCAAGCAACAGATTTTTTTTTTTACTTTATACGTCAATCTCCATCTTATTTCCCTATTAATTATGCGGAATAGGTACCGATAGTAAAAATTTGATAACGGTTTTCTCTCCCGTTGAGATTGGCAATTCTTCAATTTCTTTAAGGAATAAGGCGGGTCAAGTGCGAAGGAAAAACCCAAATCATGTCACTCTCTCGCTCTGGAGGAATCCTAAGGCTTGTTCGAGTCCGATTCACCCGATAGAGATCAAAGCCTGGATGTAAGTCAAGGCCTGTGTGTATGAAACACTCAGTGAAGGAAAAGGAAAGAGACTCATTTGTCAAATCGATCTTGTCAAAGGACACGGCCGAAACCAGAATGACGGTAATGAGAAAGACTCATTAATTTTCACCTCAACTCTGCGGGATCCCCTCAGAGCTCGTGGCTATGCAGATTCCCAGTGAATTCCTCACAATGGAGTTAGCGAAAAAGACGTGTAATCAGTGATTCTTTCTTCTCAATCAACAAGCCCATCCCCTCCAGTGCTGCTGAATATTCAAAAGGCTCCCCCTTCCCTTCCGTCATTCTGTGCTTCAGTCATGCTGAGTTTTTGACGTCTCTTGACCACCACTTCATTCCGTTGAATCCGGCATTCTTTCTGGGGGAAGTCGTCTGATTGCACATCCAGTGTTGTGTAATATTTTAAAATAGTATTTGTAATACAAACTACAATAATGGATTTATTTTGTAAATGCTTTTACTGAATTGTTTTTTAACTATGTATCTTAAATAACTGGAGGGTTTTCAGAGGTGAGGTAATTAAAATACATTTTTAATTGAAAATATTTTAAACTAAACATTCTACAATTCATAGCAAAGTATACGTTTTGTTTTCCCCTTGTTGAAACTAAACAGATTAGTTCTACCATCCAACCGGCGCTTATTCAGTGTTGCCATAAGTATGCAATTGCCAAAATGCAACAGATCATTGGGTTTTGTATTGACAAATCTCCAGTTAAACTCAATTATTAAAGCGATGTGCCATAGGACAAAGGTCCTCTTTGATTATTAAAAGTTTGACCTTTCGTGGATGAAAATCTACAATGCATTTGAATGTGTTTTGAATTCATTTCAGATCCCATTTGCAGACTATACTCTTTAATACGAAATTTCCTATGTAGGTGTATTTTTACTTGATACATTTGACACATTTTACTGAGAATATTTTTGTCTTTTGAGATTCACTCAGATTAATACTTTTCCTACCACTGCGCCCACTCCAGAAGGCTGCATGATTGCCAGCTCCTTAGCTAGGGAACGTCTTCGAATGTGTTGCAATTAATATTATTTCCATCGAGTCCTCCTTTGACGCGTCTAGGAGATTTCAGTGATTTCGATTGAAATGACCAGTCGGAATGTTTACTGAACCCAGTGGATTGCGAGAGCGCAACAAACCCTGCAACAGCTACTGGTACAGAGGCAGGAAGCAGGGTGGTAAATGAGGGGGAAATGAAGGGAGGGAGGTTTCTCTTGTCTTCACGGTCCTTTCCTCACCCCTTCAATGGGAAAAGGTGGGTGAATGATCCCCCAGGAGGAACATGCCATACCCTCCGCATCAAAACCTAGTAGCCATGACTGGAGTGAAGAACCAACCAAAGTGGATTATATTATGCCACTCGTGCGGAACACCCACTCGCCAACAACACGCCATCCGTACTGATTTCTGTTCATATAAATTCATTTTTGTGTCTCGCAGAACTTTGCTTTCTCCATTCTCGTATTGGGAAGCTTGCCTTAGAGAGATTGACGCCAGTGAGCCAAAACTTCTAACTTTTGGAGCTTACAACCGGTCATATTTTAAGTTTTTCCATGCAAAAACTTCTAGTTAGTTACGAACAATCATGTGATTGGATCGTTCTCAGCGAAAATTTGTTTCGCATCATTTTAGTAGCTGAATCCGCTTAAAACAATGGCAGGAAGGAAGGAATGGCATAGGGCAGGGAGAAAGTTCAGTGGATCTAGATTCCAGACGAAGGAAAGAGTCGACTAATGTAGAAGAAAAGGGGTCAGTTTCAGATGACGGTTAGCGGTCTACATATCCGCGATGAGTCTCGGCAATCCCGTGGGCTGAAAGGTCTCCAGAGGCCACGAGAACAGTCGTGCACCTCTCTCCCCCTCCCCCCACATTACCATATGGGCCTCTCGGACACATTCCTTCCTGTCTCTATCTACAGG